CAGCACGAGGAGCATTTGAGGATCGTGTTGGAGACTCTTAGGCGGGAGAGACTGTACGCCAAGTTCTCGAAGTGCGAGTTTTGGCTCGATCGAGTGGCATTCCTCGGTCACATTGTTACGGCCGAGGGCATTGAGGTCGATCCCGGGAAGATCGAGGCAGTGAGGAACTGGTCAGCACTTAGGTCTGTTACCGAGATACAGAGTTTTCTCGGGTTAGCCGGCTACTACATGAGGTTCATTGAGGGGTTTTCGAAGATAGCCCTACCCTTGACACGCTTGACGAGGAAAGGGACTAGGTTCGATTGGAGTAGCCGTTGTGAGTCGAGCTTTCAGGAGCTCAAGAGGAGGTTGACTACGGCACCCGTGCTGACTATTCCGGACCCTACACGGAGTTTCACTATCTATAGTGATGCTTCGAAGCAGGGACTTGGGTGCGTGCTGATGCAGGAGGGCAAGGTTGTCGCTTATGCTTCGCGACAGCTGAAGCCCCACGAGGAGAACTACCCGACTCATGACATCGAGTTGGCAGCCGTTGTCCACGCGCTCAAGATTTGGAGGCACTATTTGTATGGTGGTCGGTGCGAGATCTACACCGATCACAAGAGTCTGCAGTACATCTTCACGCAGAAGGAGCTCAACTTGCGCCAGAGGCGATGGTTGGAGCTAGTGAAGGATTATGATTGCACTATTCAGTATCATCCGGGGAAGGCGAATGTGGTAGCTGATGCCCTTAGCCGAAAGGCGAGGGGCGAGTTGACTTGCATGATCACCCAGCAGAGTCAGCTTTTTCGAGAGTTCGCTCGGATGCAGTTAGACGTCGTCGAGTCACTTCCTACGATGCCTGTAGTAGGAGGTGTTCGGTCGATGAGAGTGTGGCCCATGCTCCGAGATCGAGTTCGGAGAGATCAGTCCGTTGATGAGTTCGTCCGTTCCATGAGGGCGAAGGTTGTTGCCGAGGGCGTAGAGGGGTTTTACCGAGGCGCGGATGGTGCCTTGGAGTATAAGAGAAAGGCTCGTTGTGCCGAATGTCGAGGCCCTGAGGAAGGAGATCTTGACCGAGGCTCACAGTGCACCCTATTTGGCGCACCCCGGCAGCACCAAGATGTACCACAACCTGAAAGGGTCGTTTTGGTGGAGGGGCATGAAGAGAGATGTTGCTGAGTTTGTGAAGAAGTGCTTGGTTTGCCAGCAGGTGAAAGCCGAGCACAAGTTTCCACCGGGTTTAGTGCAGCCCTTGGAGATCCCACTGTGGAAGTGGGAAGAGCTTAACCATGGATTTCGTTACGGGACTACCCAAATCGAGGGAGCAGCATGATGCGGTTTGGGTAGTTGTGGACCGACTGACGAAGACGGCTCGTTTCTTGCCCGTGCGGATGACGATGTCCATGGACCAGCTCGCGACGATCTATATTCGCGGGGTGGTGCGACTTCACGGAGTCGCCAAGGTCATAGTGTCCGATCGAGACCCTCGTTTTACCAGCCAGTTCTGGAAGAGCCTCAGCGAGGCCGTGGGGACACAGTTGAGGTTCAGCACCGCTTTCCACCCGCAGACCGACGGGCAGTCGGAGCGGACCATCCAGACACTCGAGGACATGCTTCGAGCATGTGTTATGGACCGTGGTAGTTCATGGGAGGAGTTGTTGCCGTTGATGGAGTTCGCGTACAATAACAGTTATCAGGCGTCGATCAGGATGGCACCGTACGAGGCGTTGTACGGTCGCAAGTTCCGATCACCCCTTTATTGGGATGAGGTCGGCGAACGGCAGGTTCTCGGTCCGAAGCTGATCGAGGACACGGTGGAGCAGGTCGCCTTGATCCGTGAGCGGATGAAGGTGGCACAGGATCGGCAGAAGCGTTACGCTAACCAGCGTAGACGAGATATCCAGTTCGAGAAGGGAGATAAGGCATTCCTAAAGATCACGCCTTTGAGAGGCGTGGTTCGCTTCGGGAAGAGGGGGAAGCTGCAGCCCCGTTTCTTAGGCCCATTCGAGGTCCTCGAGCGAGTGGGTGAGGCCGCATACCGGTTGGCGTTGCCACCCGAGCTTTCGGGTGTGCACAACGTCTTCCACGTTTCGATGCTGAAGGATTACGTGTATGACCCAGCGCACGTGTTGAGCTACAGTGAGCTTGACGTCGGGCAGGACCTGACGTACGAGCTGCAGCCGATTGCTATTCTGGACCGAAAGGTTCAGCATCTGAGGAGCAGAGATGTAGCGCTCGTTCGAGTCCAGTGGACTCGCCACGGCGAGGCCGAGGCCACGTGGGAGCGAGAGGAGGAGATCCGAGCTCGCTATCCAGATTTCCAGTTCTGATTAGTAGTATCGTATTATGTATTTTTCAGTTTCTAGTTTTAGTCGAGTTGGCCTTATGATTAGTTTTGTCATTTCCTGGGACGGAAATGTTTTAAGGAGGATAGATTGTAACACCCCGGACTAATATTATATTAATAGCTCGACTTATTTATCGGTATTAGTATTATTTTAATTATGCGGAGTATTAT